GGACAGTATCAATCTGGAAACAGATGCACATAATATTTCTATCAAATTTGGAAATGAGGCAACAATGTCAGATAATGGTGACAACGAAACGCAGGAAACTATTAAACAAATGATGAAAATTTAGTACTTAAAGAGTAGATTTTACATTGAATCAATTTTATAAATAAATAAATATGTAAATAGATATTTATATAAATATATATATAGAAATGTCTGAAGTTGAGAATGATGGTATTGCTGAACTATCAAAGAAAAATGACAGTTAGTAAAAATGTTAAACTGTTGTACGAGATGATAAAAACTATTGACCAGAAACTTGATGCAAAGGCATACGAACCAAAAAATAGCAATGAAGAGAAGGAAAAGATTGACAAAATCTTTGAAAAGAAACAAATAGGAAGGCCGTCTGGAAGTTTTCAAGATAAGCAAAAGCAATATCTGGATATGTTAAATAAGAACAAAATTAAATCTCCAAAAGCAGAAACTATTGAATTTTATAAACTGTTTAAGAACGAAGAAGGAAAATACGAACTAATACAATAAATATCTAAATAATTCTAATAATATGAATTTATTAGAATTATTTTCAGGCACAGGTTCAGTTGGAACGATTGCGAAGTCATTAGGTTTGAATGTGATATCAATGGATTTTAAAGAGTGGATTTAACATAATTTAAACATTTAGTTTTAAAAGTTTATTCCCCACATCTTTGTGTGGGGTTCTTACTTTTTCCGCTCGTCGTCCGCGCGCCGCGTCTCCTCCTCCTTCTCCCGCTCGTCTCCGTCTCACTCACTCACACTCACTCACTCACTCACTCACTCACACTCACTCACTCACACTCACTCACTCACTCACTCACTCACACACTCACTCACTCACACACTCACTCACACTCACTCACTCACACTCAGTCACTCACACACTCACTCCTCACTCACACTCACTCAAACTCACTCACTCACTCACTCACGCTCACTCACACTCACTCACACTCACACACTTCACACTCACTCTCATTCACTCCACTCTCACTCACTCACTCACTCACTCACTCAATGACTCACGGCAGCTGTCTAGAGGGACAGGATGTTGTCGCGCGCGCGGCGGGGGGCGTGCGAAATCGTGGCAGGCGCAGCACTTTGGCGATGCCGTTGCGAAATCGTGGCAGGCGCAGCACTTTGGCGATGCCGTTGCCGAAGTCGTGGCAGGCGCAGCATTCTGTGCATCTGGGTGTGTGTTTGTGTGGCAGGGGTCGCATTCGGCAGCTGTCTAGAGGGACAGGATGTTGTCGCGCGCGCGGCGGGGGGCGTGCGAAATCGTGGCAGGCGCAGCACTTTGGCGATGCCGTTGCGAAATCGTGGCAGGCGCAGCACTTTGGCGATGCCGTTGCCGAAGTCGTGGCAGGCGCAGCATTCTGTGCATCTGGGTGTGTGTTTGTGTGGCAGGGGTCGCATTCGGCAGCTGTCTAGAGGGACAGGATGTTGTCGCGCGCGCGGCGGGGGGTGTGCGAAATCGTGGCAGGCGCAGCACTTTGGCGATGCCGTTGCGAAATCGTGGCAGGCGCAGCACTTTGGCGATGCCGTTGCCGAAGTCGTGGCAGGCGCAGCATTCTGTGCATCTGGGTGTGTGTTTGTTGGCAGCGGGGGGCGTGCGAAATCGTGGCAGGCGCAGCACTTTGGCGATGCCGTTGCGAAATCGTGGCAGGCGCAGCACTTTGGCGATGCCGTTGCCGAAGTCGTGGCAGGCGCAGCATTCTGTGCATCTGGGTGTGTGTTTGTGTGGCAGGGGTCGCATTCGGCAGCTGTCTAGAGGGACAGGATGTTGTCGCGCGCGCGGCGGGGGGCGTGCGAAATCGTGGCAGGCGCAGCACTTTGGCGATGCCGTTGCGAAATCGTGGCAGGCGCAGCACTTTGGCGATGCCGTTGCCGAAGTCGTGGCAGGCGCAGCATTCTGTGCATCTGGGTGTGTGTTTGTGTGGCAGGGGTCGCATTCGGCAGCTGTCTAGAGGGACAGGATGTTGTCGCGCGCGCGGCGGGGGGTGTGCGAAATCGTGGCAGGCGCAGCACTTTGGCGATGCCGTTGCGAAATCGTGGCAGGCGCAGCACTTTGGCGATGCCGTTGCCGAAGTCGTGGCAGGCGCAGCATTCTGTGCATCTGGGTGTGTGTTTGTGTGGCAGGGGTCGCATTCGGCAGCTGTCTAGAGGGACAGGATGTTGTCGCGCGCGCGGCGGGGGGTGTGCGAAATCGTGGCAGGCGCAGCACTTTGGCGATGCCGTTGCGAAATCGTGGCAGGCGCAGCACTTTGGCGATGCCGTTGCCGAAGTCGTGGCAGGCGCAGCATTCTGTGCATCTGGGTGTGTGTTTGTGTGGCAGGGGTCGCATTCGGCAGCTGTCTAGAGGGACAGGATGTTGTCGCGCGCGCGGCGGGGGGCGTGCGAAATCGTGGCAGGCGCAGCACTTTGGCGATGCCGTTGCGAAATCGTGGCAGGCGCAGCACTTTGGCGATGCCGTTGCCGAAGTCGTGGCAGGCGCAGCATTCTGTGCATCTGGGTGCTCTGTAATCGCATCCATACAAGGGGCGCACGGTACATGTGTGTGGACATTTGGGAAAAACATAGCATGTGGGGTTATCCGGTCCTTTAATTTTTTAATATAGTATATATGGAAGGAAAGGTTGAAAAATGCTAATAGAGCCGGTTGAAGATGTCTCTGACAGTTTGACTTTAATAGCGCGGAATTTAGACAGAATAGCAAACAACATGGAAAGCAAACCAACTTTCAACAACAACATTAATAGTTATCAGTCAAAGGTTGAAGTTGATAGAGACAGTAGCGAATACAAAAACAAGAAACGTATTTATCTTACTAAAATTAATTATAAATCAACAAAAGAACCTAAGCCAAGTAGTTTAGAATACTACCAAATCAAGTATAACGAAGAAAAGAAACTTTATGAAGAATTAAAGTCTAAATATTTCTGATAATATGAATTTATTAGAATTATTTTCAGGTAGTGGTTCTGGGGATAATTATGTAATACATAAACAGGAAGATTTATACAAAATACCTGCTGAATTGATTTGTGAGATTTTGACGAGTTTGGTGGATTAAGGAATTTGAGTTGGGGTTGGGAACATTCTCCAAGGTTAAGGGGAACGAGTTCTGGATTGATTGGAGCATTGAGTTCTGGATTGACGGGGAATGAGTTCTGGATTGATGGGAGCATTGAGCTGGCTTGATGGGAGCATTGAGCTGGCTTGATGGGAGCATTGAGCTCGCTTGATGGGAGCATTGAGCTCGCTTGATGGGAGCATTGAGCTCGCTTGATGGGAGCATTGAGCTCTGGATTGATGGGAGCATTGAGCTCTGGATTGATGGGGAATGAGTTCTGGATTGATGGGACATTGCCTGACTATTACTTTAACCCATAAACCTTACAATAAAGTTAAATTGTAAGATTTATGACTTGAATTTCTGGGATTTATATTTTGGGAATTTGGGATTTAGGGATTTAGGTGGTAAAATTGGTTGAGGTGGCGTGCCCCTGTTGGTTAATATGGTTGAAGTGGTTGACTGAGGGGATTTTATCTGAACTGGGGCATGCCCTTTGGTAGGTCCAGGCGCCAACCCAGACGTCAGCCCCGCCCGGCCCTTGGAGCGCACTGGTGCCGGCCGGTTCTTCTCCATATGCCCGCATGCTCCTGCAACACAACACGAGCAACGCCGGCCACCGCACACACACACGCTCCGGTGGGCACACGGCGTACACGTCGTCGAGGTAGGCGAACTCCCCGGGGAGCAAGGTGGCAGAGGCCGCCTGCAGCGCCGGGTGCTGCCCCAGCGCGTACAGGGCTGGCATGAGCGGGTCTCCTTGCTCGCCCCCTTCTGCTTGGACAACGCTGTGCGGCATGCCCGCGTCGTCGTACCAGAGGTACGTGCTGCTTTCTGCGTAGAACAAACGAGCGAAGGGGAGCAACGGGGCGAGCGCGTTGTCACCCGCGAGGCCCCCCAGCATGCTGGCTCGATGGACATGGTCATAGGCCCCGACGCCATCTATGCTCACGACCGTCGCACGCGGGTCCCGCTCACACAGGGCGCGAACGGCCCGGGCAGCAGCCTCCGCTCCGGCCCGAGTCCCGAGCGCGAACTGGAAGGGCCGGCAAGCTGCATCAAAGGAGGCTGCAAACTGTTGCGCCAACGTCCGGGCCACCAGCCGGCGGAAGGTGTCCCCCATGACCAAGCCGCGGACTCGACCGTTCGGCTTGCGCAGCGCCACCATGCGGCCCAAGCGAAGCGCGGTGGCGATGACTTCGGGGACGTCCGCCAGCGCAAGCCTCTGCGCGGCGTGGTGGAGCAATTGCATGTCCTCCTCTGAATCCAGGAGCAGGCGAAAATGCTCGTTGGTGCAGCCCGACGGGCCAGGGGCCGCACCTTGGCGAGCGCGGCGCAAGTTGTTGACGAAAGCGCCCCATGACAGCCTCACTGGCTCGTGCGGCTGGTGTTGGAGAACAGCTTCAGGGATTGGCACTCGCGGGCTCTGCGGTCTGTCGGCGGGATCCCGGATTTCGCGCAGCGTCTCCTCGTTGCCTGGTGCCAGCGGCTCCGCCGTCAGTGCACGGGCCGCAGCCGAGAGTTCTCCTAAGTGCGCCAACGCCGCAGCCCGCTCGCCCCTCGCCTCAAGCGAGTCAGGCGGGGGCGGGCCGGATCTGGCCCCAGCCGGGGCCCGCTCCGGCTGCAGCAGCTGGCCCGCCCTGAACAAGCTTGCTCTTCGCTCGAGCTCAGCTGGGGGGATCCGCGCTTGGCCATGCAGCCGGGACAGCAGCATCCTGGGAGCCAGCAGGAACAGTTTCCATCCCACAGCTTCTCGCGCTGCCGCGGTCCCCGGCGCGTCCCGGATCAACCGGAGGCCGCTTCGGAGCGCAAAAGCAAGCAGGCCGCGCATCCAGCCTGGCACGCTTTGCAATGTCGGCATGCGGACGCGGAGGGTTGCGGCGAGGTCCACGTCATCGAGGGCACGAAGACCGCGCTGCAGCGCAGCGTCCGCCAACTCGACATGATGGCGGGCGCCGCCCCTGGCGCCCCTCCGCCGGCCGGCAGGGGAGCGTCTAGCTGCCATCGCCTCGCTCCGGCGCTATGCCCGGGTGTGGGTTAGGCTCGAGCTGCAGGACTGGCGCCAGGCGGAAGGTGTTCGCGCAGCCTGGCAGCTGCGTCGCAGCCTCTGGTCCGGCGAAAATTTCCAGCAGCGTCTCCTGCACAGACGCGATGAAGTACCCGTCTGGTTCGGCGAGGAACGCCGCGACTGCCGGAAGCGGCAGCGACACAGCGTAGCGGGACGTATCCGGCAGCCGGGCGGCCGCTTGGTTCGCCCCCTGTCCTTCCAGCACGAGGCGGATGATGCCAACATCCGCGGGGGCCGCCTCCTGCAGGAGCTGTACCATGGGCAGCCACCCGTCCCATGTCGTCTGGCGAGCCCACGCCTCGAAAGCAGATCGTTCCAGTGTCCCCGCCGCCGCATGCAGCAGCGGAACATAGAGCCACGAGTTGCCTGCGGCGGAAACCGCAGCCACAGGAGGGCCGCGCGTCCACCATGAGCAAGGTGGGAGGCGAGGCTCATGCCCGAGCGTCCGGGCGTGGGGGCAGCCTTCGAATCCAGGCGTACCGTCGCCTGACTGTCCAGCGGCGGCCTCGCCTGTCCCGGTCCAGGCGCGGGGTCTCCTCCAGCAACGTGGCGGCCTCCGACGACCGCACGCTCCACGTTGCCGGGAATCGCTGCCCCGCACCGGCGGCGGCGATGGCCTCGCACCCAGTCTCTCCGGGGGCGCCTCTGCGGCCTGTCGGCGTGGCAGGTGTGAGGTCGGGGGGCGTTGCTGCCTCGGAGGATCGCGCACGGGGAGTTTCCCGGGAGGCGTCGCTCCAGAGACTCGGTGTCCGCCAGCCGGTGTGGTTGGCTGCCGCAGGGGCCGCGAACCCAGCCCGAGCCAGCGCGTCGGCTGCGTACGTGCGTTGTTCGTTCAACCCGTCCGTCTCCGTCGGCCCCGGGTTGCGCGCCTCGCCCACACGGCAGCCCTCCAACGGGTCGCTGGGAACGCCAACGCGCGCAACCAAAGCACGACTGCCAACACCCGTCCCCCCGGCCCTGCGCACCTTTTTTGCGATGGGAGCTGCTGCTTGGGCCGCCGGGGGCAGCCCTTCGGTCAACAAGCCGTTCAAAAAGAAACTGTCCCCCAGGGCCCGCTCGTCTCGGCAGGCTACTCTGAAGTGGGGGCCTAGGGGCGCTCTCTCACCGTCGGCCCTCCGCATCCAGGAGTGCAGCGGCTGCCTGGAGCAGTTGTTGGTGACGTTGCTGGTCACGCCCGCGTTCCCCAACATTTCTGCCCCGCCCACGGCCTTTGCCTTTGCCCTTTCCCCGCCGGGGGCCACGGCTGCGGCTGCGGCTGCGGCCACCTCCACCACCACCAGGGCCACGGCTGCGGCTGAGGGAGCCGACCATGGCGTCCATCTCCTCAGGAAGAGCCGGGCCCTGCACCAGCCGCTGCAGCAAAATGAGCGCGCAGCAGGCTCGGCAATGTGCCGCTTCCGGTCACGAAGGCGGACACAAAGCAAGCCTTCGCCCGCAGGAGGCCCCCTCGCCCTACGTGTTGTGCACCCGGCGCGCACGACGACCGGCCGCGTGCATCCCTCAGATGCTGGCGCTTCGTTCGGACGGCGGGCGCCCTCTGGCCAGGGCCTGTACCTCCTGCGCTCCTCCTGGGCGGAAGCTCTCGAGCACGGCGGCCGCAGCCTCCACAGCCGGCAAGCAGCCTGCTCGCTCGGCCGCGGTGACGGGCAGCCCGCGGGCTTGCAGCGTCGCACGCCGCGCGCCATGCGCCTGCCAGCTGAGAGCCAACACCATGCCTAGGAGCGTCCCCGTCGCCAAGCCCAGGAGTACCCACCCCCAGGCCAGGCTCAAACCCATCGGAGAAGTGCACCGGGGAGTCCCCGCACAGACCAGCAATGCGTGTGCCACGCTTTGCCGGCATCCCTGGGGCAAAGAAGCCGTAAAGGCAAAGGCTGAGGAGGCAGCACCGAAGGCGGCCGACAAGCGAGGTGTCAGCCATCGTGCCGCGACCTCCGCCCAGGCGGCGGCGCTAGCCATGGGCAAGCCGCCGGGGCAAGCACGGGAACCCCCAGGGAACAAGTTCCAGCTATGCACGACCGTGGCGCCCGCCGCGCAGCCCAAAAAAAGCAAGAACCAGGGGGCAGCCAAACAAACAAAAAGAGATCATCTCCCACGGCCGGAGCGCTTACGACTCCGTGTCGCGGGCGGCCTTCCTGACCTGCAGCGCGACTCCAGGCCCGCCGCCGCCTGGCATCGCCGAGCTCGGACCGGACGTGTGGCGCGGCGACAAGCCGCCGGCCGAGCGCGGCTTCCTGGCATTAGGCACCCCCCAATCGGCACGCATGAGTTCGTCGCTGCAGCGGCAGCGGTTGCTTGACGAAATCGCGGAGTTGCCCGGCTTTGCTGCCGCAATGCGCGAGCCCCCGGGCGAATCGCTTGATACGGACCCTGCCCCCTTCGCTGTCGGCAGGTTACGCCAAGGACCACGATGGCGAACGCTGCAGCAGCTTCTGGGGTCGCTTGGCGACGACGAGGCCGAGCGGGGCCGGCACGCCAACTGGCCTTCCTCGCGCGGCTCGGTGGCCTTGGCTTGTCCAGCGCGTACCGTTTGCGACCGGCGGCGTATTGGGCGGCCTGGGCTGATGCCTTGCCTGTCCTGCATCAGCGCCGGCCGGATGTTGCTGCGGAAGCTGCGGGCCCCGCGTTGCGCGAGGCTGCAGCTGCGTCACGCAGTTTAGAGGCTGCTGGCTGGGAGGCCCGGCCTGCTTGGCCCGCCCTATTGGCCGCGCCTGATCTGCCGCGCGATTCTGAGATGTCCCAGAGTGGCGCGCAGGCAGGCGCATGGCTTGCAGCAGTCCCGTGCGATCCGGGCACGACGCTTTCGCCTGAACACATGCGCCTCGCTTTGCGCAGGCGCTTGAGGTTGCCACTGCCCTTGACGCAGCGACGTTGTGGCGGCGATGGTGGCCGCTGAGCAAGCGTGGGTGCGAGTTGCGCGCGAGGCTGTCGGCCCAGAGGGCCGCGTCGTGCCACAGCAGTGGCTGTCCCAGACCACTGCGCCGTCGCCGGCTTGACTTGGTCGTCTACGGGGCCACGGAGCGGGGAGAAGCCCTGTGCTGCGATGCCACGCTCGTCAGCCCTGTCCGCAGTGATGGCCGGCCACACGCTGGCGCGGCGGATCGCGATGGCGTCGCGCTGTTCGCGGCCCGGTCGTGCGCGTGCAATTTTTGACGTATTGCAGATGCGCCTCAGGCATGCGCGCGGCCCAAGACGCACTATTGCTACTTGCTCCGCATCCTGCCCCCTTGCCAAACACTTGCCTTCGCCCGCAAGCACGATATTAAATATGGCGGTGCTGCGGGCCTGGGTCACCTCCTGCGTGCGGAGGAGCAGCGCCGACGGGCCAAGCTACCGCTGGCCAGGGGCGGGATGGGCTTGTGGTCTACCGAGCGAGGGCGGTCTGCTGCCTATTGGGCTCTCACACGTTACCGGGCAACCCAACCAAAAAGAAAAAGGGGGGGACAAACACCAGCAACCAAAAAGGAAACACCCCCAAAAGGCCAGACCCCAGCAAGGGCAGCCAAAAAGAACCCGACTCAACCCCCCCGACAGCGAGTTCCCCATTTCCAATCTCGCATCGAAAGGTCAGCCAAGCTGTTGAAGGCGCCTGCAACCCTGGATCCAAAGATCCATGTAAACCCCAAACTACGTGGTAACCCTCAAAGGGGAAAAACTGCACGGGCGGCTTGCCCTTCTTCAAGTGTGCATAGAACCCAGTCAAGTGCGTCTTTGCTTTGAGAATTGCATCGTAAGGCGAAATGATCACCTCATGGTCGGTATCAATCTGCAGCGGTTGGTGCAACCTGGAGCCATCCAGCTTACCCAGATACTTAGTAAGGCAATCGCGGGCCTTCTCAAAGCAGGGCATCCAAGGTCTTCCGTGCACTGTTCCAAGCTCTCCTTTGAAGACATATCCAAGACGTGAAGCAGTTTGTTGGGATGTCTCCCTCGGGATCAGCGTTTGCTTAAGGATGTGTTGCAAGGCCTTGATGGCTGACTGGAACCTGGGGGATTTCCTCATTCAAAGGCGTCAGGTCCTGCACCAACGGATGGATCCTGGTGATGGTGAAGCATTTGTCCACACTGGGAGCTCTTACCGGGACATTCATCCCGCTAAAGCACTTGAATGAGGCCAGTACCCAAGCAACCGTCCCCGTATGCACAGGGCCTGATGGCCCAAGGATCCAATCCATCTATATAGCGCAGGCATGAATGTGTGTGTCCAATGACTGCAAATGTGAAGGAGGTCCACATCATGCAACAGGACAACCTTGAAGTGAGTCGGCGGCAAGTCACTAATGACTGGTATTCTGTCAGTGACCACATTCCGCTGTGGCGCATGAGCGGCCCTGCTTTCTTCATAGCAAAGCTGAAGCTTTGCATAGGCCTCATATACCGCAGCATAAAAGTGTTTTCTGACCTTGGCCAATCTGCAAGCATTGTCACGCCGTCTCAGAACATCTGGGTGGTCACATTGAACAGCGGCATTCGCAGCATGATCCGCATTTCTGTTTCCCCAGTAATGGAAAAAAACAGCATCATCCCATTGCCAAATGTTCTCAGTGCGTTCCGCATGACTTCCAATCTTTCTGAAAAAGATGGAGCGATTTTCATGAAGACCCGATGAATACTGCGTGTCTTTCCACATTCCGGACTCCATCATCGCCTGCTCCTGGGGGAGGTACCAGTGCAAGCTCCTCCATGGGTTCTCCCGCACGGAGGCCCCCCCTCCTTCGGCGTGCTTCTGGAGCTGTGTGAGCATCCAGCCGCATGCCGCGTTGTCCGTGTCCACCCGAGCCTGGTCTTTGACTGACAGCCCTGGTAACCCCAGGGGCTGGTCTGCCGACCGGAGGGGCTGGGGTGCTGGCCGTCCATCGTTGAACTTCCGCGGAATCTCCCTTGCCCGTGACTTGGTGGAGCAGTCCATCGCGGCCGCAATGAAGTCGGTCTCGTCCGCCAATGACTTTTGCCTCAGGGGGTTAGACAGGTCATGGGCAGGGTCGAGGAGCCAGTCCACGGAGATGGTGCGCCATCCACACCACAGGAAGGCTTTTAGTCAACGGAAGGTTTGGACCACACATGCGATCAGCCATCAACGGTGGTTCGCCACCAGGCAGCGCTGCCGCAGCGGACCCAGAGGATGCAGCCGCCGCATCATCCTCCGGGCCCCATCAGGAGCCTTTCCCCTTCTTCCCAGCGCGCCAGGTGGACGCTCCGTGGTTGCTACCTTCACAGACGCGCTCACCCCTGGTCACCAGGCCGCAGCGGTGGGCCCCCTGCTGACACTTGGTCGCCTTGCAATTGCCATGCTGGAATGCTTGGCACAGGGCCTTCAGCACTTTAGCCACCGCCCGACTGCCGATCGGCTTACCCAGCTGGAAGAGGGACGTACTCGGGGTGTTGGTCGCCACTTTGCCCACGGCTGGAGTGG